GCATGCACCAAGTTTTCACGTTTACGGAGTGCAATCACAGCAGAGCGCTTTAGTTTACGTTTGATCAGGGTAGCAATTTGCTGACCTGCTCTTGCTGAACTGCAGCTTCGACTCGGGGACAGGAGGCAGCTTCCTGGAAGGTTGTCTGCCCTTTGCTTGCGGTTTCTTACCGGCCGTGATGGCAGTCCTCTTAACTTGTTACTTAGCACGTTGAAAAGGCGAAAAAAAGTTCGCCAAATGTTTGGAGCACATCGTAAATGAGCCACTCGATTTATAACATTTCTATAAACAATTTAATTAAATACTTTTTATACATAGATATGCTGCAACCATGCACTTACTTTCCCAAATTCCATCCTGCTTATCGGCATAATTTTCCAAATATGCCTGCTACTTCATTACTAATTACTCAATTTTCCAACTGCGCCTTCTTTGTTGGCTCGACATATCCTAAAAAGACATAAATTTACATTAAACAATAGAAATCGCAAAAATTAGCAAATAAAATACTCGCTTTGTTTTGTTTTGTTGTCAAATTTCTGAGAAATGTGAATTCACCACGATGCGATACAGAAAGAACAAGGACCAGGGATGTAATTTTAAGTAAACTATTATTCAGTGGCAAGGCGCAGAGCGTTCGGGGCAGCAATATTAATTTGTATCAAATATAACATTAACCGGTGGTTCTAATACATTTTTTGATATTATTAACCAGAGTACATACATTATATGGTATTTCTTTCAAAGATTAATGTACTATATGAACTTTTTTTTCAAATATTTCTTAAGTTTATTTCATGAGTGCTGAAAAGCAACCATCCGTGTAAGAAATTGTGTGCTACCTAAAATTTCATCTCTGGAAACTTTATCCACATAAAGGACTTCACCACAGTTTTTTTACTGGATATACTGAGGTCGACTGCGTGCATCTCTGCTGTGCATCCCTATCGTAGGACATCGCAGTGTTAAAAATACCAGTCGCTAACATTGAAAAAGGATAGAACGTGAACTAGTTGGGCTTAAACGCAAACTGGTAGAATTCTAGTTCACAACTAGTAGCTTTCCCTGCAGGGAGTCTAGTACTGTGTTTGTGTATGTATTGTGTACGTGAGTGCCGTTTTTGTGTGTGTTGTGTATGTACATGTTTATTTAGAATTATTTTCTTTTGTACGTGTTTATTGATATGTATATCTATACTGCAGTGTTTTCGGACGGTACTAGCTTTTACTGCCAATATAGGAGTATTACATATATGGGTAAAACCAAGGCATATTAAATAAGGTAGAAGTGATTTTGACATTTCTCTCTTTTGAACACCGACTATAATAGCCGTGTTTTATTTGTCCAGAAATTTAAGCTATTAGCTTATTTTGTATGGAGGACTTACCCAACATAATTATATTGGCTTATGAAAAGCTATCTTGGCTTATATATTGAACAAGAGGCACTGCCATTCATCATCAGAAATTTTCTCCTTCAGCCAATCAAAAAGAGGCAAAAACTTACTTTGACACTATTTGCAGTCAAACAACTGTCAAAATTAGGCTAACATAGGAAATAAGCTAATTTCGTTTTATTTGACCAAGATTTAGCTATTTGCTTGTGATGGTTGGATAAAACATGCTTAATGTCAAGTGATGAATAAGTTTTAACCCTTTTCAAGTTGGCATTTTCTATTTCTTATTAAAAATTTTGAATTGGGTGATTTTTTTTTGTTTTTCGACCACATCCATTTATAGATATACATACTATATAGAAAAATGAAAAGGCTCAGGAGCTATGAGCGTTTCACTATGTGTGACAAGAGCTAAGACGTTAAAGTGGTGTGATGCGCCTAGTTGCGAAGTTAGAAGACCGCTGAGAGAATCGTTTCGGCGTTCAATTGGAAGATTCTACCCGTGTCTATTAAAATCAATTCAACGCGAATGATTTTATTACCTGCCCATTGCAAGCAAATATTTTTAAGCGCATGCGTTTATACCAAGGTGCAGTTCCCATGCCCTGGGAGGTTCCTGTGCCTGAGATGCATAAAGCACACGAAAGTTCAGAAGTGACGATATCATCTGTTGATGCGCAGACGCAAACTGAGTAAGCCTGCATAAATAGTTCCCTACAAAATTATGTTCACATAAGCACGTCAGGGCCTAGATTTACACTGATTTGCATACATACATATGAGTAGTCCACTTGCAAACAGCGGGTTGTGATTTTATAATAGAACGCCATAAATTTGAAAAAAACGACTACGACAACAAGTAACATTTAAACTGAATCTTTTTTATTATTACCTGAAAATTTGGACAAATAAGAGCCTTATAAAATTGTAACATAACATAACATGACATAAGATAATATTAACAGTCTATACGACTTAAAGCAGTTTTCTAAGTTCATCAGAAGATGTATACTTTTGAAAGATTATAAATAAGTATGATAGCGAAGAAGAGTTAACATTTGGTGCTATTTTTTTCAGAATATAAAAAAGTTTTGCACTGTGTTGTTAGTGGACATGAAACTACTTTAAATACTGGTACGTAATCCACCAAAAACTAAAAATCGAAAAAATTTCGCATAACGCACTTTGCAAGTGGACTACTCATATGTATTTATGTGTACATGAATTTGTTTATCAACATGTTTTTAAATTTTTTCTTCAGCAATGATTCCATACAATGTAGTTTCAAAACGGAAATATATCTTCTTAATGAAAAAAAAATTAAGACAATGGAAGCCACTATAGCGGATCTTACCTCCAAGTTAAACGAAGCTGTCTTTACAAGCCTCCCTTGAAAAAATTTTCACTAAAGGGCAGTTAAAACAACTATCAAGTAATTGTTAGTTAAGTCTTCATATAAATTTAGAAGAAAACATTAAATAATTTTTTTATAAGTGCTGGATGTTTTTTAGAATTAAATATTTAAATAGGAAAGTAAACGCACAAAAAAAATTGGGCGAATAAAAAACAAAAAATTTTGAACCAGTTCCATAAAACATTTCTTTCATTTTTTTTACGCGTTTTCCATTATGAGGTATTCGTTTCTGTCCGTATGTATACATATAAGATGCAAATGCAATTAAAATTCCTTGAACGTAATATTCATAAAAATCCTAAATTTTCACAAATGTACGAAATACTCAAAACGAAAAACGTATGCTCAAAATTGAAATTGTATTTAATGGCTTGGACAGCTCTTATCCCAACTTTGAAATTTCTGTATGAAATGCCATTCAACCGAGATTGTTCCACATTCATGATAAAGGATGCCATTTCGCTGAACGAAATTTTTCGCCAGTGACATTTTTCACCGATTATTCATGATCAGGCTGATAATGTTTGACGACATACTCATGTATGACCAGATTATCTGCTTTTTCGAGCTGAACTATCCAATGCGTAATTAGGAATACAAAATTTCTCTCCTGATATCAAAGTTATAAAATAATCCTGTATTAAAAATAAAAATAATATGGACGTACGTTTTTGACTGAAAAAGAAAAACAAAATGGACCGCTTGTTAGAGATTTTTTTTCATTACTAGATATGTTTGAGTGTCCGCGTCCGTTTATCGTAAAGTCCGTGTATGGCAGAGCATTTTGTACGAAAAAAAACCAAAACTTGTTAGTTTCCAAGATTGTGCCCGCTTATAGGAGATGTCCGTTTATTAGAGCGTCCGTTTATGAGAGCTTTCACTGTATATACTTGCAAAAACTTATCTTATATGTACCCAGCAAAACCTTCTCTGACCTATAGTGAGTTAGCTCGTCGAGAAATTCGTACTCATCGCTTGCATTTTAGATCGCTGAACACATTATTTTAACATAGGCATGTCATTGGTGATAATCGTTTCCTCACTAATTTCTAAACTATTGCATTATGTACTAGTATTTGACAAAGTAAGCGAAAGCTCGTTTCCAGATTTTTGTTAAAATTTGTACATTTTGGCCGTCACAGAGTGGTGTTGTCTAGAAATTCTTATCGAGAATGAGTTCAGCTCAATTAAAAAATTTCCAAACAACCCCGCTCTGTAACTGTCAAAATATAACAAGTAATTTTTAGCAAAAAAAAAAAACCGACTTCAACTCTCATATACAAAAAAAAAATATTCCGACGAACTGATAACCTTCTCCTTTTTTGGAAGTCAGTTAAAAATCTGTACAAATGTATAAATCGTATGACCCCTGCGTAATGCATTCTTGAATTGGTTAAATTTACCTGTGTCAGAGAAATTTATTGGTCGATTTATTTTATTAATTTAATATCAAATATTTTTTTGTAAAAAAATGTTATTAAATATTTATTTTATTAAATAAAGTTTCGCAATTCTCAAAACGACTTCTTTAAAACTAAAAAGAGCATGACAATGTTATTTATAATTTAATAAAAATATAGATAAGAAGCCGTGGAAGCTAAAATTTACCTAATACATTGAAATCTAACCTGCAACTTTCCTTCCAACCTAACCACAAATTTCCACATTTCACTCTTAATTTTCCATTTATGAGAAAAAACTTAAATATTTATCAGCGCAGGTGCAACATCTTGACAACTTAAAGGGTCACAGTACTCTAGCGGCCGGAAAAAGGCCACACTTAAAAAAAAAAAACGATTTTGCCAAAAAAATCAACAGTAAAATGTTAATAAAAGAGGATTTACATTCAGTCAAANGAGGCCACACTTAAAAAAAAAACGATTTTGCCAAAAAAATCAACAGTAAAATGTTAATAAAAGAGGATTTACATTCAGTCAAAAAAACGGTACCTACCTTTCTTAAGAATCTACTACAGGAGAGTCGATAGCACAGCCATTAAAGGATTGTTAAAGCGAAAATATTTAGATTTTTTCAAACTTCTAAATTGTTTTTATCATAGCATTTATTGTGATATGCATGAGCTTGTTACATACATACATACATATATAGCAGTTACGAATTTTACTGAGTGAAACTTGTTTGACTGACGAAGCTTGGTGTACATATGCTTTAAGGAGAATTTTTTTCTAGTGTCGTTCTGCGGACATTCTTGTTGTTGCCATAGGTGTACCTGAATTAGTCAAGGGAAGTTGGATCAAACCAGGAGCTGTTGTTATTGACTGTGGCATTAATATTAAACCAGGTGAGAACATTATCTTTAATAAATTATAAAATCTTAGACATGTATTCAGATATGAAAACCGCTATAGATAGATGTAATGGTCAACTTCCATTTTATTAAGAAGGTTTATAATTAAAAAATAAAAGTATACTGGACACTTTGTATGTACGTTGTGTAAATTTATTATTAGCAAATTTGACCCCCCAAATTGAAAACCCAGTTAAATCGAGCAAGTTTTCGACACATCGCGTCACCGTCACTAATTAATTAATTATTAACTAAATTCAAGTGCATATACAGTTGCGATCTTCTAATTAGGCGCCCATTGACCAATTGCAAAACCGCCTTTCTTACGGCACTCAAATTTTACAGGAGAACGAAAAAATGGGTTTTCATTAAACGCATTACCTTGATATGCGGTATTTTTTAGCTATTATTTTACACATCTGTTTGAAAAACGATTTGACGATTTTTATGCATAAATCTCGATGCATGAAGTTCAGGGTTACCAAAACTCATTTTTATCACAATGGCGATTTAGGCGGTTTTGAAACTGGTCGATGGCGGTTTTGCAAAAACATCAACGATATGCAGTTTTATAGCCCATAAAATTTGAGTAGTTAAAGTGCAAATTTCAAGACGTTAGAAAATTGCGTTGATTCCACTGGATCACAAGTTTTAGTTTGGTTTTTGTTCTCCAGACGCCACTATCCAATTTCTATGTAGAATTGCTCGGTGATTCCGAAAATCGGATACATTTTTTTTCTCTGGATACGTTTTCGAGATATTTGCAATTTACTGTTATTCAGCTTAAAGCAAAAATTGGTTCCTTTTAATCACGTATAAATAAGAAATAATGGGTGGTCAAATGAAGATGCGCCTTTGCTTTTTTAGCTTTCATTTGCCGTATTTTATATTAAGATTTTTAAATTGGTTCGTAAGATATACGTGATTAAAAGGGACCAATTATTGCCTTAAGAATAACGGTAATTTGAAAACATCTAGAAAACATATCCATAGAAAAAAAAATTAGCTCGATTTTCGGAATCACCCAGCAATTCTACATAGGAATTGGATAGTGGCATCCATAGAACATTTCTGCTGTATATCAGTGTTCTTAATATATATATTTTTTCTAATTGTATTGCGCCTTTTTTCATACGAAAAAATTTTCGAAAAAGTTGCCAAAACCCAACGCGATTTTTTAGCAACTCCAAACTTGCAATTTATTATACTAGAATTTATTGGGCTATAAAGCTGCATACTCAAAAAACTGAAAAATCTAATTAGAAAGTTGAAAATTTAGATTAAAGTTTGCAGATTTTTTATAACTTCTGGAAAAAGTTTGAAATGTGGATTTACATATCGATGGCGGGGTGGAAGATCGACCTATCTCGGCAGCCAGTTCGAAAACGCTCTATCTCAAAAAACTTTTCAAGAACGCCCTATTTCAGAACTCGTTTCAAAAACGCCCTATCTCAGCTGCCATAGGGCGTTCTTGAAAATTTTTTTGATTTTCAATACATTTTGAAGTGAAATAGGGCGTTTTTGAACCGAATTTTGAGATACGGTGTTTTTCAATTAAATTCTGAAATAGGGCGTTCTTGAAAATTTTTTTGAGATAGAGCGTTTTCGAACTGGCTGCCGAGATAGGTCGATCTTCCACTAAGCCATCGATATATGGTATTTGTTATGTGACATACATATAATGAACTAGACATTTATGAAAAAATAATAAACATTAAATCAACAAAAGAAAAGTAGCCAAAATTTATCAAATCGTTGCTGTCTTAATTAGCTGATCGCAAGTGTAATTCCTTGGAAAGGACACATCATATACATGAGTATGTACGTACATTAGGGTAAACCAAAATAAGTAAAGTCGGAATTTTAATGCTCTCACCCCCTAGGATTGTTCTATATCGAAAAAAATTAACTCCAAATTTTTTATTTCGAAATAAAAAAATATATGGAGGTTGCTAAAAGCGGAAAACCCACTTTTCGTAGAAATGGTATGGAATTCTCGAAAATCAATATTTTTCGATCGGAAAACTCTGCTTTTCTTCCAATAACGATACCCAATTTTATATTTAACCATTTATTAATGCTAAATGGTTAAATAAATAATTTGGTATTATTATTGGAAATATCCTGAAGAAAAACAGAGTTTTCCGATCGAAAAATATCGATTTTCGAGAATTCTATACCATTTGTACAATACGGAGTGTGTAAGCTCAAACTAAAGTTATAAAGAAACTACTCCTATCCGTTCACATGTTGTTTTTCGGAGTGAATGCTTGAATACTTTCGGCGTGATATGCTGGTATTATAATTTTTCTCCCAGGCGTAGAAGTTGTTTAAATTTTAATTTGTTAACAAAATAATTTCATTTACATTAATTTTAAAATTTTCAAGACGAAAAAAATTAATTTTAGTAGAGTTGTATGCCCTATGTTTAAAAAAACATCGCATTCCAATTTGAATTTTCAGGGAAAAAAATAAATTGCGTACCATTGTAAAAATATTCTAATGCTCATAAAAGTCTAAATTTGAAAATGTTTCAATGAAATTTACGGAGTGTATTTCAGGTGAGTAGCACTTCATTCGAGCGAAAAATCACCTGAAAATTCGAGGGTCGGTAAATTTGTGACCCACTTGAGATGGCCTTACACAAATGCAGTTATATATTTACACCCGAGCGCACTTGTGCACAAGGGTACTATAAATTTGTTCACATAACGGTTGTTTGTAACAGCCAAACAAGTGCATACATAATTGGTCCCTCTGTCTGTCCGACCGTTCTCACATAAAAAAAAAAAATATATATATATATATCTCATGATCCATTGATCGGATCTTAACCAGATTAGTATGGGACAACCTCTGAGACACTACCTTTCCGATGCAAAAAGAAATCGGTTGATGTGGTCCAAAGTTATGCGGTAACATACATAAAAAAAAAAATATTCGGACGAACTGATAACCTCCTCCTTTTTTGGAATTCGGTTAAAACTGAGATACCTTAACGAGATTTGGTATTGATAATGGGCAAAATCAGACAATAATCACGCCTACCTCCCGTGCAATGGTAGTTTTCAGAAATGCGCAAACTGCGATATTTTAGTAACTACTGAAGCTCATTCACTCAAAAGTGATATTTACAATGATTTTTAAACGGAAAATAAGAATATTGTAAATTTTTGAAAAATGGGCATAGCCACGCCCACTTATGATTACATGTGTATACCTTGGTTATCGCTTGGTACAGCAACGTCTGAAAAAATTTCAAAATCGGACATTAACCACGCCTACATCGCATATAACGAGAAATAGAGAAATATGAAATCTTCGCTAAATCAGAAAATACTGAAGCTGATTTATTCAAAATTGATGTTTGCAATAATTCTTTAGCACAAAATATGTTCATGATAAAATCTTNCCTTGGTAATCGCTTGGTACAGCAACGTCTGAAAAAATTTCAAAATCGGACATTAACCACGCCTACATCGCATATAACGAGAAATAGAGAAATATGAAATCTTCGCTAAATCAGAAAATACTGAAGCTGATTTATTCAAAATTGATGTTTGCAATAATTCTTTAGCACAAAATATGTTCATGATAAAATCTTGGAAAATGTGCTTGGCTCCGCCCACTTATGACCTCATATGTGTATCTCGGTAACCATTCGATCAATTTCTACCAAACTCGGTATGATTATTGTGCTTGGCACATAAAAACAAAATTTTGAAAATTATTGAAGTCGGACCAAAATTAGCCCCACTTTTCATATAATAGTAAATTTCAGATGTGCTTGAAACTTCGATATTTCGAAATTTAGACCGCTAATTTACTCAAAATTGTTACTAACAATAATCCCTTGAAAATAAGTAAAATTATTATGGAATTTTGGAACCCGGGCGTGATACCGCCACATATAACATATAAGTTTATCTCATTATGTATAACTGAATGTTTTATCGAAGATGTATGAAATAGGGGTAAAACCAGCCCTGCTTACCATGTAGCGGTAGTTTTCGGAAAGGTGAAAAAACTAGATCCAACGTGGCAACGTTCGTACTGTGTGGTCGCTTAAACTTTCGTTTGAAAGAATTTCTAAAGTTACTTTGTTTATCTAAGTGCTAAGCAGTTTTAATTTGTGTAATTTATACTGGAAAAGGCTATTTGAAGCCAAGCTCCAATAAATTGTTGGGTTTTAGACATAAAATGCGTGGATTAAAAATTAAAATTCTTGTCATTCCTTGTGCATATTTGCCTATTTGCATTATTATTGTTTTGCATGAGAGTGAATTTTCCCATCTTCCGCGATTTGTCATACATTTTGCTTATCATCGATCAAATAATTTTCCTGCAACAGCTGATTTTGGCTTGCTTTTATGCTTTTAAGCGTTTTAGCTCATGACTTTAAAACTGTTAAGTTCAGCACGGTTTCTAACCATTGAACTTACAATACCTAGACTTCTGTGTCTCTCAAACGCTCATCTTTGCTACTATCGTACTAAAAGCGTACACTGTGAGTTTTTCTTGTACATAAAAATTGTTACTACTACGCGCTGCAATGTATTCATCCTGCTGTTTTGCAAAATGTAACAGTTAAAACGACTTAGAGCGTTGCGTTGCGTGTTGGTTGTGTGATGACTTAGATCACGTAAAATGTGCTGGTTTCAATGGTAGGGTGGCCGATAACAAAGGTGTTCGTTGGTATTGCCCCAAGTGCAGATCAACCGAAGTTGAGCTTTGTAAAATGTTTAGGAGTTGGGTAAGGAGTTAAAACTTCTAAACGAAAAGTTTAAGCGATATGAAGATGCATTTAAAGACTTTAAGTGCATTGAGTCTTCATCCTCTCCATCACCCAAGCTTAAACAAGCTTCAAAAAAGCGGAAGCATGGAGGAGACAGCGTTGTTCCTAATCCCATTGCTTCAGACATTGACATTCCGCCAATTGATTCTTTGCCTACTCCCGGCTTAAATAAGGAATTAATAAGTTTTAATTCTCCGTG